AAGTCCTTCTCCATTCTCTCATGGAAATTCAGCAGCCACATCTCCCTCTGTTCCAAGAAGCCCAGCTAGAGGAGAGAATCTTCCGAGCCCCAACTCTCGCTGGAAAAAGGGGAGGTTACTTGGTAGAGGAACATTTGGACATGTCTATCTTGGGTTTAATAGGTGGTTACAATTCTAAATTATTTTTACCTTTTTTTTTTTCCTTTTCTATTCATTAATTTATGGACATATTGAGGACGATATCCTGATCGCATCTTTTATATGTATGACAGTGAAACGGGTGAAATGTGTGCCATGAAGGAGGTTACACTATTTTCTGATGATCCAAAGTCGAAGGAAAGTGCTAAGCAGCTTCAACAGGTATTTGGCCTCCTCTCCCATTGTAGCCTTATAGTATTTTGCTGCATTGAAAATATGCATGAACAAGCCACAAAGAGGTTTTTATTTTTCTCTTGCTTAATATGAAGTATATGGGTCATCATCTCATCATTTATTTTTGTGTATGGTGCAATTGGAATCTCTAGTTTGTAAGATGTTTCTGGTGGCTGTTCTTGTGAGCCTACTCCCAAAAGCTTCTTCCCCTTGTCTGAGATTTGTACAAATACTTAAGATCTAGAAGATCTCTTGCACATCACAGGTGTGCTTAATTGGGCACCAAATGGTTTTATTACCTAAAACCATTTGAACCCACAAAATGTATAGTTAAGTGCGAAACTATCGCAAAATGTGCTGGTAAGTGCAAAAAACTGGAGTAATTGTGTTGTGTGGACTGGGCTTTAGGTTATTATGCTAGGTTCACTGTAATGTGATTTATTTATTTATTTTAATATGTAAAGTGTGAATAAGTGTTAGATTGTTATGCTGGGTTGTCAACTTTGAAACTTTGCCAGTATTGCCACCATAGTTGTATTCCCTTGATTTTGTAAGTTGTATGCTGTCGCCGTCCATTTTAAATGTATGCCTGTTTATAATAAAAATGTGACTATCTGCTAACATAAATGTTTTCACCACTTGTGCAGGAAATTGCTTTGTTGGGACGTCTTAGACATCCAAATATTGTGCAGTATTATGGTTCAGAAACTGTAAGTCTGTGATATTTTCTTAGATCCTATAGAGTGTACACTTGTTTTTTCCTTTCATTTTTGCATTAATTGTAGATACCTTTTTTTTTTTTTTTTTTTTTTTTTGGGGGGGGGGGGGGCTTTTTAGGTATAGTTTTATGCAACCTTGAGAGGATATAGATACTATTAACTCTATATGCATTTACTTTTACCATTTCTATATTGTTTCATTTTCATAAAACCTTTAATTTTATTTACAGGTTGATGATAGATTGTATATATACTTGGAATTTGTGTCTGGTGGGTCTATCTATAAGCTTTTACAAGAATATGGACAGCTTGGTGAACTTGCAATACGTAGTTATACCCAACAAATACTATCCGGGCTTGCATTTCTCCATGGAAAAAACACTGTTCATAGGTGAAATCTGTTAGCTGAATGTTTTAAGTTGGCTGATACTATTCTGTATCATAAAGTTCTGTTCTGCTATTTCAGTGGAGGAAAGAGATTTTTGTTATTCATGTTTACCTTATCTTATTCAGGGATATCAAAGGTGCAAATATACTTGTTGACCCCAATGGTCGTGTTAAGTTGGCAGATTTTGGTATGGCTAAGCATGTAAGTACATCCACTTTGGATATTCCATCTGTCCCTGAGCTGCAGAAAAATATAGATAAGAGATATTAGGCTGATTCAGGGTTGTTCAGATCACCTTTGTTTTCAAGGGAAGTAAGAAATTTAAAGACCCTTCTTATTAGTTTATGATTTTTTTTGCAGATCACTGGACAGTCGTGCCCATTGTCATTCAAGGGAAGCCCATACTGGATGGCACCAGAGGTCAGCATCTGAATGTGATCTCCAACCGTGAATTCAGCTGTTTTCCCCTTGTGTTCTCAGCTTTCCTTTTAACTGCAGGTTATAAAAAATTCAAATGGTTGCAACCTTGCTGTTGACATATGGAGCCTTGGTTGTACCGTCTTGGAAATGGCAACAACCAAACCACCATGGAGTCAATATGAAGGGGTCTGTGCTTTATAATTAAGTTATTTAAAGTTGATATTTAAATAAAATCCTGTTATGTACGAAGTATATTTTTTGTTAAAATCATTTATGATAATTAACGAGGACCTTGATGGGTGGTTTGGAGTATGTTCAATGCTCAGTTCTGGGTCTGTTATTTGAAACTACCCCAGTCTTTAAGCTGAGTCTCAATTGATGGTTCTCATGTATTTAATATCTTCATCAATGCCTTGACTCTGTAACTGTTTATGATATATTCTGGGTGCTTGTTGTGGAATCTAGATTATGAGTTTCAATTTTATAACCACACCTTTTGCTTGTGAAAATTCACATGTTTTTACCAGGTAAGTTATACCCTTCCCTGGATGCCAATTGCTTGTCATGGTTGTATTAATCTGTGTCAGATCTTACAAATCAAATCTGTTTTGAAGCTATTATATTCACCAATTTTTTATAATGCTTCCATTCTTTTTGTGGGTTATATATGATCTTTATCTGTGTCAGTTTGTCATATAAGTATATAACACTGCTGTGTATTTGTCTTCTCTTTGCATTGACATGATGCTGATTTTTGCAGGTTGCTGCTATGTTCAAAATAGGTAACAGCAAAGAATTACCAGCTATTCCCGATCATCTATCTGATGAAGGAAAAGATTTTGTGAAGCTCTGTTTGCAGCGAGATCCACAACAACGCCGCACAGCAGCTCAGCTACTTGAGCACCCATTTGTCAAGAATACTGCTCCTCTGGAGAGGCCTATTCCAAGCCCTGAGCCAACTGATACTCCAATTAGTGCTTCAAATGGGATGAGGTCTTTGGTATGTCTTATTTTTTATGTCGTTATCTAGTCCTTTTCATTTATTTCAGATGTGCTGCCTTGGCTGATCCAAATTGCTGGAAAATGATTGAAATTCCTATACCACACCTTTTATTTATTTATTTATTATTTATCTATTTATTTATTTATTTTTTATCTGATGGACATCTCATAGAGATTGTGCATTTTAGCATGGATGGGTGGCTATATTTATTGGATAGATGGTGTCTCCCTGTGGACCCTATTACAAACATCTTTATTGCCTTTTCAAAATAATATAGTGGATCTACTTATTCTACAATGACCTTAGTTTCATCTTCTGTCACATAAATCATCTTCAGGGGGTTGGACTTGAGAGGAACCTTTCAAGCTTGGACTCAGAAAGACTTGCTGTTCATTCATCCAGGGTTTCACCAGCGCGACCTCGTTCCAGGTTTCTTTTGAACTCTTTTTTCTTAAACTTCTGTTAATACAGTTGGTCAATTTGCATGTACTGAGTACTGACACCAACTGAATCTTTTTTTTTTTCCCCATGTCATGGGAAAAAAAAGAGAGCAAGTAATACTTAATATTATGATGCATATTTATATTATGATCTGATTTTGGTCTTTTTTTTAATTGTCTGTGCTCTTAGTGAGTATCACATTCCGCGGAACATATCTTGTCCCGTTTCACCAATTGGTAGCCCACTGTTGCATCCAAGGTCACCTCAGCACCTGAATGGTATGATGTCACCTTCTCCTATATCCAGCCCCCGTACTACGTCAGGCTCATCAACTCCCCTCACTGGTGCTAGTGGTGCTATTCCATATCACCATTCACAACAGTCTCATTATATGCAAGAGGGTTTTGGTGCATTGCCTAAATCTCCAAACAGTGTTTTCCTCAACGGGCCATATGATCCGAGCCCAAATATTCTTCGAGGGATGCAATCTGGACCCCATGGTTTGACATTAGTGAGTTCTGAAAATGAAATTCGTATAAAGCAGGTTGAAAGAGAAAGACCCTATCAAGGGAACCCATGTAATGGACGTACGGTATTGGCTGATCGTGTATCCAAGCAGCTCTTGCGGGAGCATGTAAAGCTAAATCCTTCTGTTGAATTTAGTCCCCGCTCAACATTGCCTAGTCGAACTCATGGCCTCTAGTTTCATTCGCCCCTAGATACTGAATAATTCTATTGTTTTGGCCTTTAGATTTGAAAGGAAAAATGAGGAACAGAGTTTGGGTGATGTTTGAAGCTGGGATTGATCTTTTAGAAATGATATGGCTCAGATTATCTTTTGCCCCTTGTTCTGGCAAGTTCCTCAGCTTCAATGCAAATGTTGGTGGCAACATCACAGCTCGGGATTTTGCAGCTCAACTTGGCTTTGCTAATGAAAATTTAGATATGGGAGGTGATTGATGCATGGCAAAGTAAGCTGTCATGCCTTGTACAAATTCAGAACTCTTATCTGTTGTAGAATCATTAAATCTACAAGACTTCTAAAATCAGCTCAACAAAAGTCATGTCCCGCATTTCTAAAGAGGTTTCGAAGTTTTGGATGGACCTGCGTTTTTCTAGGTCATCTCAGACAAGTTAGAATCAAGCTGGGATTTTGTATGGTTTAGTTTATGTTGTACAGGAGCCTAATTTGGATATACAGCCAGGGAGTCAGGCATTTCAGAATTTGTTTAGCCAAGGGGTTTCAGTCTCTTTGGAGCCCGTTTATACCTGCTCTGATGTAATTGTTTATATATTATTATGTAGTAATGTTGTTACCGTGTTTCTGTACATTTACTAAATTAGTACAGAAATGTACTTATTCAGACTGTAATTTACTTTTGACAGCAGTCATATTTGATGAAAAGAAATGTTTCTGTAGCTCTTCTAAGCTGATGAACCAAGTCTCTTGCATGTATCCCAATGATGATGCTAGTACCCACAATACTGAAATAAGCTTGGCCTGTTTAGAGCCAATGTTAGGCCAGTGAACTAATTGGTGAGTCGTATTTTCCTTCAATATTTATATACGTATATTTTTGAAACTAGCTAATGTTTTCTTAAAAACAATAGGATGATTTCCATCAGGGAATACAAGAGGTAGTAAGCAAAGTTGATTTGGTTGCAAAGACTAGTAATTGTAGGTTACTTTTGATGAACTTGTAAAACCTCTAATCCAAACCACCTGCTTAAGTATATACGAGTATGATATATTACTGCACTTGCAAGCTATAACGAAAGCCAGTTTTTTTTTTTTGAAAAAAAACAAGAAAGTCAGACTTTACTTGTATGAGATACACCTCTCCTTTAAAACATCAAGTTACCACTTTCAATTAATACTCTATACAAGGTAATTCACTTTACAAGATTTGAGCTGAAATCCCACAATTTCCTTGCTAGATCAGCATCATTACTCTGTGAACTTGCTTTGGCTATATCACAATCACCAAAATATTTTCCACGAACCCCTTTCACGTCGGGGTGTAATGCTACATAGCATGTTGTTGCTGCACCCTGCGAAATGAATCCAACTGATACGTGTGTATACTTCCTCGCCAACTACAAAACAATTTGCTAACTAGCTGTTCCTGTACAGAAGGAATGTAAAAATTCAGCATTTACCTGTTGTACACTTTTGACAATTAATTGGCCAACTAGATTAACTAGACCTGCACAGATAGAAAGGAAAAAAGGAATAAAATACATCAAATGATGATCTTGCAGAGGATTCAAGAATTCAAAAGAGGTTGGATCATACCACAAGAATAACAGAATTTGGGGAAAACACAGAAGAAATAAAAAGGCAATAGGAGTATGAACCCTAACACAATATTCACGGAGATACGGTTTCTCTAATATAGTAATATGGCCTCAGATGAATATTGAATACTAAGAAAATTTTGAGCTAGTGAGTTACCGTTTCAATCAACTAATCACCAATGGAGCAAAATCTGTTACCTCTAAAAAGGCTGTGATGGCGAAAAATATCAGTGTCAACAACTCCTGGGTGAACTGAATTGGCTGTTATCTCCACCCGATCTTCCTGCACAACAAAGTAGTGTCACATGAAAGACTTCAAATGAAATTATTATAATCATCTCACTCTGACAATTCCTTTTACTACAGTATAGGAGAGCTCACATCTTGACAACATTGTATCAATATAGCTCAAAGGTGTAAAATAATTACCTAAGACGTGCTATGTCAATGAAAAAAAAAACCCCTAAAAAATGGCTAGATTATACTAGATAAATGACCATATTTAGATAATGTATTCAAGAGGCTGTAGTTATAAGATCTCTTTTTGTGATAGTGTATCTTACACGTTTATCTGCAGCTACAAGCACGCACCTTTAAACGCCTAGCAAGCTCATTAGCATGCAAAACATTTGCAAGCTTGGACTGACCATAGGCAGATAAGCTGTGATACCTGTGAATGATCGCAGAGAAATTTCACAATGAGAAATGGTGCATAATGATATTTTAGGTTACTGCTGAGTAGTTAGTTTTCGATAAATCTAATAATATGCTAGTGTAGTTATGTGTGTGTGTGTTTGAATGGATCGTAAAAATGTGCACCAAACCTTCATCAAATCAGATAAAAAATAACCCCCTTTTACAAATACAATTGAAGCATATTCTGACAAAATGTACCCTGCGGGGTCATTTATTTTGCCAAAAGGAATTCCTTCAGGATATGATAGCTGGTGGCGTCGTGATGACACATTTATAATCCTTCCTTCTCTATTTCTATTTAGTGCAGTCCTTTTCATTCTCTCAAGCAATAAATTTGTCAAAAGAAAGTGTCCTGCAAGATGGATAGATTACAGATTACACCTATTTCTGTCAAGATCAAAATAATCAAAATTTACGCAATTCAAGCCAATGATCATTAATGGATATGTTGCCTTACCTAAATGGTTGGTAGCAAATTGTAACTCAATCCCGTCCTTGGAAAGCATGAAAGGGGTAGCCATTATGCCTGCATTGTTACTTGAAGACAGGAAAAGGAAAGATTAAAAATAAAAAAAGTAAAGGAAGACTGATTATTTGTGAGTGTTAGTCCAAATAGAAAACAAGAACCAATACATAAGGAAAACACCAAACATATCGTCTATTCTGCATTATGAAAACTTTAATCTATTTTACATTCAGCTGGAAAATGCAATGAGGCCAAGACAAATTCATGATGCACCAGTAAGATGGTTGTGGATCCTTGTGCCTTCTCTATTTGCATGCAGATAGAGTAGATCCTACACTGTAGTCAGTTCTGTATCTGTATTATATTTGCATTTAAACAGAATCCAAAATTCAACCGATCCACCTAGAAGGATATCTCTGATATTAAAGCAGTTCACCATTTCATCTAAAGGTTTCTATTATTTTTGGCATTGAACACATCTAGATTATTTCTCCAAGTTATATCTGGTATACAAATAGGTTAGGTCAAATCAACAAGGTTAAGGTGGAGGAACAAACAAGTCAAGCATGCTTTAAAGCTACTCCTAGTCAGTGTCTCAATTTCACAGTTTTAATGGTAATCTAAAAGGAGAAAAAGGTCCGACTTATCACACTATCCTTTCAGCCATACCATCAGTTGGACTTACATAAGCAGATTAAGTGGAAGGCCTGAAGAATTAAATTCTGAAGCAAATTTTCTAACAGAAGCCATAGAGCTGAGGTCTAGTTCCATAGCATCAATTTTTGCAGATGGGATATCTCTTTCCATTACTTCTTTCACGTCCCTAGCTGCAGCCATATTCCTTACTGCCATTATAACATGGACACCACGCAATGCAAGCACACGGGCAGTTTCAGCTCCAATGCCACTTGTTGCTCCTGGAAAACAACATTTTGAAAAGGGAACTATAAACAATACAATAATTTAAGACCACCTGCCCAGAAACATTACAAAATTTTAACAACAAATTCACCATAGCCAAAGCAAACTTCCAACACCACTTTTAAAAAACCCCACCTGCCCAGAAACATTACAGAATTTAACAATAAACATGAGAGAGAATCCTAGAGAGAGAGAGAGAGAGAGAGAGAGTCCCCACCGGAACCACCAGACAAACTTCCAACACCACTTTTAAACAACCCCACCTCCGCCTTCACCACCCCCCCACCTTCCACTTCTCCCCGTTCCATCCCAATACTACCATCTCCCACCCATGTTCCCACCTCTTCTTCACCTCCCTCTCTTGTTTCCCAATCTTCCTCGTCCCTGCTTCATAATCAGCCACTCCTACCCACCCCAACAGGATCTTTAAACCACAAAAAAGTGCAGTCAAGCAGACCTTCCTTCAAGGAGGCTCTTAACAGCTCTCCCTCCTCAAATCTCTCACCTAACCCTCTTGTCACCCCAGCTGCAACCTCCCCTCCGCCCTGTTTCGATGTAGCTCTGAGATTTTTCTTCCAATCTCTGTTTCAGAGTACTCCAACCTATGCAACCCATGGGTGGATGCTATAATTTCGAAGGTGTGTGGAAAGTCTTTTTCCACAGACTACTACACTCAAGGGTTGGAAAAAATCTGGAGACCAATCGGCCCTTCCCCATTGGAAAGGGTTTTTTTCATCTCAAAATTCCAAGAATCAGCGGATGCCGTTAAAGTGCTAGATAAAGGCCCTTGGTTTCTTAATGGTATATTCATATATACACAAAGATGGAAACCAGGCTTCAGACCATCGGAGGAACAATGCTCTGTTTCACCCACATGGATAGAGTTGCCTGAATTACCAACGAAATTCCTCAACGAAGCTTTCCTCAAGAGATTAGGAAGTAGTATTGGCACTGTTATCAAGGTAACCATGAAACCCCAGGAACAAGGAACCTCCGGTTCGCTAGACTCCTCATCCTATTGAATCCAGCAAAACCAAAAAAAAGAGTCCATATGGATTGGCAAATTCAAGCAAAAAGTTCTCTACAAGGAATTCAATGATGGTGGCATTCCTTTGGCAAGGCAAAATATAGGAGAGAAGAATAAGGCAACTTCCAATGATGCTATAGGCGTAAGCAACCAGTCACAACCGACTGATTCGGCGGTTTGGAAAATTGCGGGGAAAAACATCAAAAACCACATTACCCAACAGTCCAAAGAAAAAGCGCGAAATGCCTTGGGACCTACAACAACCAAATACCCAAAATAACCCGTTCCTTCCGCTTCAAAAAATTTGCAGCTTACCAAGGCGCTGACGTGTCCTACCCCCATTCATCACTACTCCCAAATTCCATCATTACCTTCTCCCAAAACTTCACTTCAAGTTCTGATTTCTCGACTCCCCAACACTTCCTCTGCTTCTAGCCGCCTGGAAACGAATAGTCTTATCACTTGTCTTTTCACCTTTACCTCCTACCGCAGAAATTATGGCTTCTTTAAACCATAGCAACCTTTTAAAATCCCGGTTTCATGCTATTTTTTCAAACCACACCTCCTTCTCAACACCATCTTTTTCTTCTCAAGCAAAGCATAAAAATGCATCGCCTTCTCTTAAGTCAGAATCTCGACAAACTCATGGCCGAAGATCCGGAATTTGCAGAAGGATCAGCGGGATTCCTCAAGCCACCGATCAAACAACCGACGATCATTCACGTCAAACCAGTTCAGGACAGTAACATAATCACTTATACAAAGCCGGTGATGACATACCCGGACTCGATGTTCAATGTTCAATCTGATGTCCTTCTATGCGGAGGGCCCGGGTGGAGAGTGGAACCCGATAACTCCGGGCCTCATCCGGAAAATGCTTCTGGAACCTAAAAATGTTCCGGCGTTCATGACAAACCTCCATATGGAATATCTGGAGGAACCATTCAAGCTGGTGGGCGGACATAACACTCATCAACCCGGCCTTGGGAACTTTGCTGAAATGGTGGATAGCCAAGCTCCAAAACAACTACACTCTGATGTATGTTTCGTGGGAACTCCAATTTGTACTCGACCCGGTACCCGTTCTTCCAAGAGACAGAAAAGTCTTGTCAGAAGAATGGCTGGTTCTATAGTTGGTGGCCGGAACAAACAACGTCAAGTGGATGCATCTCGTCTCGAAGGCCCAACAACTTCGCCTAGAAGCGGCTTGGGGGAAACAGAAAGGGGGAACCCTGCAAATGTTCGGGGCGAAGGTCAAGAAGAACACCTTGTCGGTGTACAACCACTATCTGGGTCCATACGTAGAACTATAGACAGCAATGCGTCCTATGAGACCAAGAAAGAGATGCTAGCAATTCCAGAAATGAAGCCGGGAATGTCAATTCTGCTGTGGAACGCTAGAGGACTAGCGCGTGATGGCTTTAGAAGGAACATTCACCATCTGATTCAGGACCATTACCCGGAAATAGTGATCTTAACAGAGACAAAAGTTTCAAAATCCAACTGTGAAGATATCATTGACAACCTGCCTTTCAACTCCTTCGAGGTGGTGCACCCGGTGGGACTCTCAGGGGGAATTCTCATTTTGTGGAACTCCGGAGTGAACTTAGTCACCACGGTTTCCAAAGAGCCTCGTGCAACCCATGCCGTGGTTCAGGTAAATAACTCGACCACCTTCCTTCTTTCTTCCATTTATGGATTAGAGCTTTGGAATTCTTCAAAAATTATGTCATCCTCTATTTCTCTTCCTTGGCTTGTTTGTGGCGTTCGCTCATGAAAATGGGGAGGGAATCCACACCCTCTTCATAAAATGAGAAGCTATAAAGAGTGTATGGATTTCTGTAACTTGTCTGATTTAGGTTATATAGGCCACAAATTTACTTGGTTTAATAATAGGAAAAAAACTCCAATCTTTGAAAGGCTTGACAGATTACACCAGAATGGTCAACCATGTTCCCCACGTTAGTGGTCCATAATCTCCCTAGGCTTTCTTCTGACCATAACCCTCTCCTTCTGAAATTGACCCAATCCACCCTCTTTCCGGGAAGCTTCCTGATAAGCTTGCCTCCCTCTCTGTGAAACTCCAAACTTGGTCTAAAGTCTAATACCATTTTTAGATCACTTGTTTCAAAAAAGAGAAAATTTTTAGCTCGAATTAAGGGTGCCGGCCCTCGAAAGGGATCCTACAAATGAATTCCTTTTTGATCTAGATAGCCAGCTCAACAATGAGCTACAGCAATTACTAGACCAAGAGGAACTCTACTGGGCAACCAGAGCTAGAACAGAGTGGCTTGTTAATGGGGATAACAACACTAAATTCTTCCATACAACTGCTGTCATAAGAGGAAAAACCAACAGGATCCATACTCTCAAAAATGAAGTGGGAGAATGGATAGAAGACCCATTTCAGCTTCAAAACCATGTGTGTAATCACTTCAAAAATCTTTTCTGTTCTGACAACCCAAACCTTCCTTCCACTCCAATTCAATCTTGTGACAATTTTGTCTGTTCTACGACCCCCACCCTCATTGAGCTAAAAGAAGCTTTGTTCTCAATTGGATCCCTCAAAGCCCCGGGTGTGGATGGTTTCCATCAATCGCACTGGGATTTGATCCACTCAGATCTTTTGTCTTTTATCTCAAACATCTTCCAAACAAAAACAATCCCCCCTACATCAATAGAACTCCATAAGTTTAATCCCAAAAAATCAAAACCCTTCAAAAATAAATAGCTTCAGACCCATTAGCCTTGTTAACACACTCTACAAAGTAGTCACCAAAATCCTTGTGAACAGGATTAGACCCTACCTCCCTTCCATAATATCTCCTAACCAAAATAGCTCTATCAAAGGGAGAGGAGCTGAGCTGAAGTGAACTATATAGTTGCCAGTGAGGTTCTTCATTCTATGAGAAAGAAGAGAGGAAAATTTGGGGTCTTTGCTCTCAAAGTTAGACCTTGAAAAGGCATATGATAGACTTGAGTGGCCTTTTATTGAACATTGTTTAAAGCTGGTCAGTTTCTCCCAGGATTCTGTTTCTCTTATCAAATCCTATATCACCTCCACCCACGCTCAAATCCTTTTGAATGGTAAGATGACTTATTCTTTCCTTCCCTCTAGGGGTCTAAGACAAGGTGACCCCTTGTCCCCTTACCTTTTTATCATTAGCCTTGAGTTCTTGTCTACTTTGATACATGCTGAATGTCATAGCAAGAGGTGGAAGCCTTTCAGATTTAGGGGGGAGGGGGGGTGGGGGAAGACTAACATCTCCCCCCTTCTTTTTGCAGATGATGTCCTTCGCTTTGGAATTGCAGACAAAAAAACTCTAGCCTCCCTTTCAAACACCCTCCAAACTTTCTGCTCTTTCTGTGGTCAGAAAGTAAATGGAGACAAAAGTAGTATCTTTTTCTCTCCTAACACCTCCCAGGATTTGATTGATGATTTTGGACAAACTTTAAATGTTAAAACTTCATCCTCTTTAGGCACTTACCTAGGCTACCCTCTAACTGATAGAAAGCCTACAAAAAGACAACTCTATTCAATAGTTGACAAAGTGGGAAAAAAGCTTGCTGCTTGAAAAGCTTCCACCATGTCTAGAGCAGCCAGAATAGTTATGATTCAATCAAACTTACTCTCTCTGCCTAGATACAGTATGTCAGGTTTAAAGCTGCCAAAAGCCATCACCCAAAAACTTGACTCTATTTGTTCAAATTTCTTATGGGGTGGGAATCAGAACAAGAGAAAAACAACTTGGATTTCTTAAGAAGGGGTCTGCCAGGAGAAGTCAAAAGGGGGTTTGGGTTTTGTCACCCATGATGAGTTGAACCAGATTGCTCTGCTAGACTCTGCTGGATGTTGGATACTAAAAACAATTGGGCTGGCTCACTTCTCTTTGAGAAGTATGTGGCTAACAAACCAGCTCCTGTTCCCTTCAATAACGGATCACACATCTGGAAGGGAGTGGGACATGGTTGGGAGCTATTCAAGCATAGTCTCCATTGGGAACCAGGATGAGGAACAGATATCAACATTTGGCTAGATAATTGGCTGAAATCTGATACTCTAAGATCACTTCTTCTTGGCCCTATCAATTCATCAGCTGAGAACCTTACTCTCAGCCAAATCCAACCTCTTTCCCATTTACAGCTTGAAAATCGGATCAACTTCCAAGTAGATGACCACCTATTCCACAGATTGAAAGCTGTAATTCTGAACAATAATTCAGATTACAACTATACAAGTTGGACCAGAAAAGGAAAATTTAACATGAAGGATGCTTCAGCCTGGTTGGTATCTCAAAGATGTCCTGGAAACATCTTGAATTTGGATTTTCAGTGGGACACCATTTGGGAGGCTAACACTTATCCAAAGATTAAGGCCTTCCTTCGGCAAGCTGCTCATAACAGACTACCAACAAAGGAAAACCTTAACCTAAGAAACCTAGCTCCTCAAAGGCTTGTCCCTTCTGCCCAAGCTCCTCAGAAAATAGCCTGCACCTCTTTTTTGCCTGCCCCATAGCTGCTCAGTTTTGGGTAGACATGCAGATGCCAACTCACCTGACCCCTAAACAAAACCAACCTTTCCAAGATTGGCTGTTCAGAAACTTGAAATTTCACTCCCCCTCCCATAATGGGATCCCCTGGAATACCATCTTTTCTTTTGCTCTATGGTCAATCTGGAGAAGAAGAAATGATTGGATCTTCTCTAACAAAAATTCCATTCCTCAAAAGTCCAAAACCCATTGCATCTGGGCTGCTTCTGAATGGTTCTAATCTACCACTAGATCCACTAAGAAATCAAAGCTTGGTATCATTGCTTGGGCTCCTCCTCCCCAAAATTCTCTCAAAATCAATGTTGATGCTTCCTTTATTCACAGTACTAAGCAAACAGGGTGTGCAGCAGTCTGCAGAGATCATACTGGCTCTTGGGTGGGTGGTTTTCTTTGGAAGGGTTATGCACCATCTCCAGGGGAAGCTGAAATCAAAGCCATCTCGTTAACATTAGAATGGCTACTTGACAAGGGGTGGACAAACTGCAGTATTCACCCAGACAACAAGGCAGCAGTAGAGGAAATTAATCATTGTCAGAGTGCTAACTTGATATCACCTTCCATTCTTAATTGCAGGCAGCAGCTGGAGCTTCTCCATGAAGTCACTATCAAGTATGAAGAGCGGGAAAAAAACAAGGTGGCTGACATCCTTGCTAAGCATGCTAGAGGAGATCAGTTTTCAATGTACCAAATTTGTAATTTAGAAACTCCTCCAAATGTCTGTACTAATGTTCTAGCAAATGACTTAGCTTCTTTTGGACAACAAACTAATAGCCAAGGCAGTATTTTGGGATCGCCTAGGGGCATCCAACTTGGGTCTGTAAACTCTATTAATCTAGCTTAATGTATTCCCCCGTTTTCTTAAAAAAAAAAAAAGCAAATCAGAAATTGATGTTTTACATATGGCATCATTTGAGAACGGGGGACTATAAATTCCATATTCTACAGACTAACAAGATTCCTCTCCTGTATTCACTAAGAAGGACAGACAGCCTATACAGCAAGCGATTAGAGGCTTAATAAATCCTTCTGCAATATGGGTGTATGTGATAAACGGGCCTAAGCTACACCCATCACAACTGTCTACTTTATACGACCAAAGAGGTTCCACCTCAAAACCATACGGCAATGAGGGGAGTAACCCCTTAGCCTTATAAAGTGGACACAATTTTCTTATTTCTTCAATGTGGGATACACTTCCCTAGAATTTACACGTTTTCAATGTGGGACAATACTTTCACTCACATGTGGGTTTACTCATGGGCTCAACACTCCCCCTCACATGTGATCTGTCCATAATACTAGCCCAGATCACAATACAACCCAACTTGGCTCTATACCATGTAAAGAGGTGAACTTTGGCTTGAATTTCATTACACCATGAGCAGCAAAATATATAGTACAAGAAGACCAGTTTCCCAATCCTACACCAAACGTGTATGCTAGCTAAGGAAACAAAAGATAAACCTTAGAAAATATATCCTAGGGAATCTAAATATTCACCAAATCAAATATCTCCTAAATATACTCTAAACATAAACATATTTTGAATGTTAGTCGTGCTTTGAGATTTCAAGCAAAACTACCAATTTACTTTTGGGGTGAATGTGTTCTCACTGCCGCTCATTTAATTAATCGTACCCCAACTCCTCTTTTGGAGAACAAAACACCGTTTGAGATTCTTTTCGACAAACCACCATCCTTTGATACTATTAGAACCTTTGGTTGCTTATGCTTTGCCCATAATCAGAAAACCAAGGGAGATAAGTTTGCTAGTCGTAGTCGCAAATGTATTTTCGTGAGATATCCGTTTGGTAAAAAGGGATGGAGAGTGTTTGACTTAACTACAAAAGAATTTTTTATTTCCCAAGACGTGAAATTTATTGAAGAAGTGTTTCTGTTAGGGAGTCCGAAGGAAGTGAATATCTCATATAATGAGTATGATGATCATAATATTGATGAGGATTTTTCAGCAATAATTTATGAAGATGAAAATGATGTTGGCGATCCTAAGCATTCAGCCCAATCGAGCTCCACACAATACCCAGCGGCTGATTAGGCCTTATCAGCGCCCGCTGGGCCTACATCACAGCAGCCCACCTTACATTCTGGTAAGCCCGCTGGAAATCCCTTGCCCGCTGTACCCTCAAGCACCAAGCTCACTTCTGCCTCTGATCCACACGCTGGAAAACCAACGCATGCTGGGCCACGCGAGTCTGCCCCCATCTCCACGCCATTTGATGATGATGGACCTCTTCCTCATGGGCCTATGTCTGGTCCGCAGGTTCAAGACAATGGAGATGGCTTAAATGAGCAAGCAATGGGTCGTGGATTTCGTCAAAAATTTCCAAACGTCTTGCATCGTGATTTTGTAACACATACGGTTTTTGCTAATAGTCCACTCTCTTTTCCTTCGGATCACTCCTAAGGTACTCCTTATCCTTTAGCACATTACATAAATTGTGACAATTTTTCTATCAATTATCGGAAATTTCTTGCAGCAATTATCAAGGGTAATGACCCAAAATCTTTCAAAGAGGCGATAAAATATGATGGATGACGCAAATCTATGAAAGAGGGAATCCGTGCTCTGGAGGACAATGGTACATGGACCTTGGAGCATCTTCCTCCTGGAAACGTGCTCTTGGGAGTCAATGGGTCTATAAAACCAAATATTTGTCCAATGGTGATATTGAGCGCCTAAAATCTCGATTAGTGATATTCGGCAATCATCAGCAAGCTGGAATTGACTATGATGAAACTTTTGCTCCAGTGGCCAAGATGACTACTGTTCGTGCTTTTCTTACGATAGCAGCTTGCAAGAATTGGGAGTTACATCAAATGCATGTTCACAATGCCTTTCTGCATGGTGATCTCGATGAAGAGGTGTACATAAAATTGCCCCCCGGATTTGAAAGTTCGGATCCTTCTTTGGTGTGTAAGTTGCGCAAATCACTATATGGCTTGAAACAAGCTCCTAGGTGTTGGTTTGCGAAATTGGTGTCAGCTTTGAAACGGTCCGATTCAATTTGGATTAATCTTTGTTCACATATACTAATGGTAAAACTCAGATTAATGTCTTAGTTTATGTGGATGATCTTATTATTTCTGGGAATGATTCCGCTGCACTTAAGGTTTTCAAGGCATATTTCAATGATTTTTTCAAGATGAAAGATCTTGGATCTCTTAAATATTTTTTGGGCATTGAGGTGGCTCGTAGTTCATATGGTTTGTTTTTTGCGTCAACGCAAGTACACCTTAGACATTATCTCTAAAACAGGTCTCTTAGGAGCAAAGCCGAGTGGGTTTCCCATCGAACAAAACCATCGGCTTGCTCATGCTGCCGGCGATTTTCTGAAGGATCCCGAGAGCTATCGTCGTCTTGTGGGACGGCTCATTTATCTTGCACGGACTCGCCCGGATTAAGCTTATTCGGTTCACATTTTATCACAGTTCATGCAAGCACCTCGTGTGGAACATTGGGAAGCGGCATTGAGGGTTGTTCGATACTTGAAAAGGACCCCTGGTCAAGGTATATTGTTGCGTTATGATAGTGAGCTCACATTGGAAGGATGGTGTGACTCGGATTGGGCGGCGTATCCTCTTACTCGTCGTTCATTGATAGGTTGGCTAGTGTTCCTTGGGCCAATCCCCGATTTCTTGGAAAACTAAGAAACAACATACGGTTTCCAAGTCATCTGCTGAAGCGGAGTATAGGTCTATGGCAGCGGTCACTTGTGAATTGAAGTGGCTTAAAGGTTTGTTGTTGAGTTTGGGTGTTCAACATCCTAAAGCAATTAAATTGTTCTGTGATAATGAGTTAGCGTTGCATATTGCGAAGAATCCCATGTTTCATGAGCGTACGAAACACATATAAGTTGATTGTCACTTTGTTCGTGATGCAATCAATGAAAGCTTGATTTCTCCATTACATGTGTCTACTTCGGCTCGATTGGCGGATATATTCACAAAAGCTCTCGGGGAAGACTCAGTTTGATTATCTTCTTTCAAAGTTGGGCATTTTCGAATCTCATGCTCCAACTTGAGGGGGTATAAAGATATATTTAGAGTATATTTAGGAGATATTTGATTTGGTAAATATTTAGATTCCCTAGGATATATTTTTTAAGGTTTATCCTTTGTTTCCTTAGCTAGCATACACGTTTGGTGTAGGATTGGGAAACAAGTCTTCTTGTACTATATATTTTGCTGCTCATGGTTTAATGAAATTCAAGCCAAAGTTCACCTCTTTACAATATGGCATTGGGGATAACATACTGAGCTACCCTGATGTTTGTTGTTTTGACTCTTAATGAATGAGAGTTTCCTCCATAATCCACATACATCAGAAATTGACAAATGAAATACAAAAGATTCTGAATTCAAGTTAAGTTATGTAACTTATTCCCTAATTGTCTTACATATGCTTCTTTTTGCGATGCAATTTCATCACATTGTTGCATATAATGAATATCTTTTGGAAAATTCTAACAATTTGGTCTATGTAAAATAAACATTTCAAGTTTCAACACTATTTGCACCAAAATAAATAAATTGGTTTAGTTCAACCAGCTCATAATACCAAAAAATGTCAAAGTTGCGCATTGGAGACCGTAAAAACACAAACATTGCGATTAATTAAAATAAACACTGTAAATAAATTGAATTACATACGGAGCAATACTCATCAACAATTGCATATATTCAAAAAAATCCAGTATTATCAGATTGAAGATGAAGCTCAAAGTACTCTCAAATCTTTGTATATTTCAGGAATTCCACTTAAATAACTAGGGTTTTGCTTGAATTTTGATCACAATTAAAAGCAAAAACAAAATTAAAGAAGGGAAACGTGATGAACCTGTAACAATGGCGGTAAGACCGTTGCCATTGATTCCCTGAGTAACTTCCTCAGCTGTCGAATATCCTGAGAATCCAGACGAACCTTTTCTGCTAAACAACCACATCCTCCACTTCTTTCTCTCTCCGTTGACCGTCGAGCGTTGAGAGTTGACCGATTGGGTTTGGGTAGAGAAAATGGGTTACAACAGTTCCGGAAACCAGAGTTTATGAATGATCAACTCTGGAAAGTAATCTGATTATTACGTAGTATGGAGTACTGAGTATATTTTAATCTGATTATTCCTGAGAGAGTACGAGTATATAACAATTAACTTAATCACAATCCCGAACAAAAAATGAACTCCAACTTAAACCTCTTTTTTTATTGTCATTTTATTTGACATTTTTATCAAAATATCGACTATAGAGTTATACGGAGCAAGTCATAACCCATGTTTATTTGACATTTTTTAGTTACAACGTAAATTTGAGAAGGGGAGATTTGCTTAAATTGGTAAATATATATATATATTGTTATTTTATTTTTATTTATTTATTTATAATTTATAATGAGAGTTGGTCAGTAAAATTCAGCAAATAAGTTACAACCTGTAGCCAACAAATTTAAAAATGCTTGTATCAAGTTACAAGCACAAGTTACAGGACTGCATGAAAACTCAGCACATCAGTACATCTCATGTTTTATCTTTTTAGGATCTATCTTCAAACAAGATATCACACCATATATATGAATATTTCTGTTTAAAATCTCATTGCAGGTACAATCTTCAATCGGCATCAAAGGATTCAAAGCACTGCAAGCTATACGTTACATATCAATCAGTCCTTTAAGAACCAAGAATGAGCCTACACTTTTCTTTCTTTTCTGTTCGCTATAATTGAATCATACATCGAGTGTAGAGAATTATCATCAAACATTGATCAATTTCATGCTAAAGTCCCACAGTTTTTGGGCCAAGGTAGCATCTTTAGCTTGTGAAGTAGTCTTGGCTAGGTTGCAGTCACTGAAATATTCACCACTTACGCCCTTGACCTGTGGGTGCATAGCAACATAACAAGTTGTAGCAGCTCCCTGAAATTATAAGCTCTAGATTAGAAGAGAGAATATTTTCAGAAGTATTGTTTGATAGGAAGTGAATATAGGCCATAGAAAGGACTTTTAAATCAGTGTGAAAATTTCATTGACAGGAACGCGATGATTCTAAATATAATCAAACCATATCCTTAAGTTCCAGATGATACAGTTCTAGAAAGTATTTGGTCATCCTGAAACCTACCTGTGGAACACTTTTCAAGACATACTTGCCAACCGTACTAGTAATACCTGCCACATTGAATCACCATAAAATGAGATCAAGTTTAAAAAAGAACGCTGAATCCCCCCGAGACCCCCACCCCCCAACCCCCAAACCCCCCCCCCCCCCCAAAAAAAAAAATAACTGGATAGACATAAATTTGAGTAACACATGCAAAGTCAGTAAGAACTACCCCTAAGCAGAGTACCATTTATCAAGCTGTTATGGCGGAAAAGGTTTGTAGTAATTGCCCCGGGATGAAGAGAATTTGCAGTTATATTGGCCCCTTCATCCTGATCAACAAATGCATTATCACCTTAGATTACATATGAAAGTTACAACAAAATAATAGCAAATCAATTTAACTTATAACTGGTACATCTATAAGGCAACCAAAACTGAGAAGTTCTAACTGGAAATAGTTTGACAAGATCAATTCATCAATTCCATAGCCCTCTCTCCTCCACTCCCAATTAAGAATAACAGATGAGAATCATGAGATAGTGACTGAATAAAGGAAGATATTAACAATTGAACAACTTAATTCTGAGGCAGAGGTCAAAGAAGTACCTTTAAACGTCTGGTAAGCTCATTAGCATGCAGAATGTTAGCAAGCTTCGATTGACCATATGCACGCCAACTGCTGTACCTGTACAGTTCATGAAAATACTATGAAGTCCATCAAGAAGAATCAACTACGTAACATATCACCACAGAGGGGGTGGGGGGACTCTACATATATTTATCTGTGCAACACAAGTTTCCTTAAGACAACAGAGGGGTTGGATGAGGGTAAGGCTCCATATATTTGGACCGCCCAGGCTTCCAGAATCTAGACCCTATATGTCGACAGAATATACCCAGAAGGGTTGACAAACCACAGTCAGGAATTAACATATTACCCTGATGGATCATTAAGTTTATCAAAGCGAATTCCTTCGGAGTATGGAAAACGGTGAGCCTCTGATGAGACATTAACAATCCTTCCCTCCTTGCCACTATCCAGAGCTGCTTTCTTCATGGTGTCCAACAGAAGATGCGTCAGAAGAAAATGACCTGTAAAAAAGATGTAAAAAATGTTCAGTGGATGATTTTTAAGATCAGCAAAATGACTCCTAAAATTCATGCTATTATATAATCTCTCATAAAAATCTGATTGACATCAGTAACAGCAAATTTTGAAGATTAAACTTAATCAGGAAGGCATAGATGATCCTCTCCCCGCAAAAATAACAGCAATGGGGTGGATAAATTCTGGATATTTTGAACAAGATAAACCCGTTGATGTATTCCAATGATAAAATACTACTGTCATACTTATTACACCAACTTACCTAAGTGGTTTGTTGCAAACTGAAGCTCTATGTTGTCTTTAGAGAGCATGAAAGGGGTGGCCATTATTCCTGCATTGTTACTTAAAATGATGAAGGCAGGTTAAGAGTATACTCAAAAAAAGGTTGAAACACAGAGCATATGTATGAACCAGTAATTAATAAATGGCACACCACTACCAAGTCTACCAGGCACTCAGGCAGTGTAAACATGCTCATATAGGGGGAGGAATATAAGGATAATAGCTAAAAATTAAGAAATGTGAAGGTTGAAAGCCCAGGGAAAAAAAAACACAATTACATAGGAGTTTCTTACATTAAAAGGTTAAGTGGCCGCTTTGAGGACTTATAATCTGATGCAAATTTTCTTACAGATGCCATTGAGTTCAAATCCAACTCCATAGTATCAACTTTAGCATTGGGGATTTCCTGAACTATTTTATCCTTGACCTCTTTGCCTGCATCCATATTCCTAACACCCATGATAACATGTACACCGCGCAATGCAAGAACACGTGAGGTTTCGGCACCAATCCCACTCGACGCTCCTGTTCAATAGTTGAGCCAAGTAAAAATTTGTACAGGAGACATGAATATGCTTTAGCTACATAAATTTGCATCCAGAAAAAAACAACACTGTTCACCACAAAATATTGAGTAAAAAGAAAAAGAAATGTCTCCAGAATGGACCTTAATTCTAGTTTTCATTTAAACATCTGGCACCATAATCCATAAACCAATCTCCACCAAAGAAGGGTTTAGTCATAGTACAAATTAGTAAGGTAAATTCATTTCGTCAAAAAAAAAAAAAAAAAAAAAAGAAGGTATATTTACAAAGTTTCACAGTTCCAAGGTGCCACTGTACCAGTAGCATCCGCTTTATTTTAAGCAGCAGCAAGACAATGCAAAGTTAAAAGTTTTCTCAGAACCATCTGAACCCATATCACTTAGCGAACCATATGTTACCTTGGTGGATCCAACATTGTTCATGAATTAATCTTATACTCATATTTATCAGCTGAAAGTAGAGAAGCTATATAAAATCTAAGTGCAAAGCCAACATACACCGACAAGACAATATGAGATGAACCTTTTTGCTGTGACTCACTTCCATTTGATTAACCATGAGAATACAATTTTCTTCATAAAACAAGCAGCCAGACTTCCAGGAAGTTGTAGGCTAGCTTTGATAGACATACATCATCAACAACAATTTCCACATCCTTCCCTGATTTCCCTCCATCCCTGAAACAAGTTAACACTCACAATCTCCATGACACACTTTTTACCGTTAAAATATCGACTTACAAAAAACTGATGTTTTGCATCCAAACAAATCCAACAACATTCCACACGAAGGTTCCATAACCGGACAATCATAACCTCTAAAAATTGTAAAAACACACTTCTAGCTACTTCATAATACCCATTCTCAAACTTTCCCCACCTATTGAATTTAACACTAAAGCAAATTGGGCTTTTTTTTTTTTTTTTTTGGCAACATATACATATTGTATCACAAATGAACATGTGCACAATTGCACAAACATCACAAAAACAACCTGAATCAACTCAAGGTACCCAACTATAACAAACACATGAATATTGCTCTAATGAACTATACAATTTAGGGTTTGTAGCTAAATCTGGCATCAAAATGAACCCATCAAACAATCAACCAATTAACAAAATTTTAACAAAAATCAGATACCCATTTGCCAAAAATTGAAAATTTGCCAAAATTTAAGCTTGGAAATGCATATAAAATGAAGAAAACAAACCTGTAACGATGGCAGTGAGATCAGTACCATCAATTCCATTGGTAACTTGTTCAGCAGTTGATGAACTAGAAAACCCAGATGCCCCTTTTCCCCCAAACAACCACATTTTCTCTCTTCAATCAGAATCACTGAGCCAATCAATTTACGAACAACTCAATAATCGGCTAATATTTTCAGTTAATTTATTTGTAGGATTACCAAAAAGGGGTAAATCATTGATTCATTGATACCAAACATGCTAGGCTGAATTTGTTTTTATCCGGTGAGTATTATCGTGTCAATTATACTACCTCGGTTTTTTCGTTGATACCGTTTGACTTTTACACTATTTATACACTATACTTTAACTCGCTTTTGTGATTTATAAATATGATAAATAGTATGTGAGATCTTATTTGAAACATCTTGATGTATATTTTATTAATATCCACTTTTTATAATTTTAGAATGTTGATAATTAGAGATGTTAAGCGTTAAAAACATGTGTTGACAAGCGTGATAATAAAAAAATGTCAACTAAAAATAAAACGGAAGAAGTATTAATAAAGTATTCATGTTATTGTTACGTCGACTGTGGTGTGTATCTCGTGCTCGTGTCGTTTTAGGCTTTTAATTTTTTTTGTGGGTTGTTACAGTCATATTACCATTTCATACTTCATAGGAGTCCACTGTACTCGTAGTGATTTATGTTAGGTTCAATACACTTTTTTTGATTTAATTTGGTTTACTTTCCCAAAAAAAAAAAAAGAAAAAAAAAATATTAATTCGATTTGAGACTTTGAGTTGGAGTCTCGTCTGATTTTCTGATTGACTAAATTATTTCCTAACCGAAAAAAAAATTATCAAATGAAACATCATAAGATTTGAGAGTGAGAGATAGCTCAAGTGGTTAGAACTACCCTCCCAATTCCAAGAGACACTGGGATCGATTCTCATCATCTGCCTTTGTGACTCTCGAAACACCAAAAAAAAAAAAAAGAACGTTATAAGATTTGTATAAATGTGTGTTTAATACAACTACCATTTTTTTTTTAAGTTCATTACTTCATCACTTTTCCTTTAACGACCCTTTTTTTTATTTTTTTATTTTTAATTTACAGTTTCGCCTCCCTTTTTTTTTTTTTTTTTTTTTTAAATCTTCTCTTAGGTAAATGATTTTGACATACTCATTGAGAGAGTATAGTTTTCTATCCTCCGCTCATAGGGAAGTTATAACTTATAAGCGGATATGTCAAAATCAATTTCTCTTTCTTTATTTTATTTAATTTTATTGTTTCATTCTTTTTTTTTGAAACATATTGTTTCATTCTCTTTATATGGTCTCCACTTATACTTAATAGTTAATACCTTACTTTTGATCAATTATGTTAATTATTAATGTGTTGGTTCTCAATAAACCCACTTATACAATATTTTACTCCATCTAACTCATTTTTTTATAATATGTGTCAGTTAAATCGATGCACTTAAAAAAAAAAAAGTGAGAGTGATACTTTCATAATTTTTTAAATTATTGAATAGTCACTATGTAAACGCAAATTAAAAGCTCTAATTTCGCCTGATTTGATATTTTTTTTAATGAGCTAATATTTACTTGTATAAGCTAAATTGAACATAGCAAGTGGTGTGGAATTCATATAGATTATGAGGTATTTTGTACCATAAGCGTTAATACAAAATTATAGTCTTTTTGAAGGAAAATACAAAATTATAGTTTCACCAGCATAAAACTATTACTTCGTATTATTGTGAATAAGTTTGAAGATTACTTCAAATTGTAAATATAGTCAAGATTCTAAACAAGAAAAATAATAAAAAAAAAAAGAAAAGAAAAGAAAAACAAAGGGATCGGAGTACCATATTGCAGAACAAGACGTTAACTTGGATTATTTTGTACCCAATACATGAAAAGAATTATAATACGTAGCATTTATGATTGAATTTCAATGTTGCAGTGCATTACACTTATTTTTAACATCAAGAACCAACACATTAATAATTATGTTTGACACATTATTTGACCAATTCCATGCTGAACTCCCACAATTTCCTAGCCAACGTGATATCCTGAGCTTGTTTAGAAGGCTCGGCTAAATCACAGTTATTGAAATATCACCACTTATGCCTTTTACTCGTGGATGCAAAGCCACATAACATGTCGTCGCTGCTCCCTGCAACGAACGAGTTTATCATCAGAAGAGACAAAGGATTAAACATTGCAAAGTTAGATCATGTGTATTTCAAGACACTTGTGGAATATCTTTGATGAATTTGAGCAAACGGGCAAGCATATTGAGAGGACTAAGAGCTGTTGAATCCAAGCAATGCACAATTAAACCGTAACGTACTCCATCCAAAAATATTTGCAAAACATACATAGTATAAGCTTCATTTGAAATGCATGTACAACAGTATAGCTAATAAGGAAATATATTAGATAAGAATGAAGTATGCAACAGTTTGCTAAAAAGTGTAGTATACCAATTATTGAGATGCGAGATAATTGATGTATATTTGTAGAAATATTTCCAGGATGAACAACATTAGTAATTGTTTCGGTTGAAAACAATGGGACCTTGCCGAAGGTCCACTAAAATGGAGAAGACTGGATTCGATCCAAGCTGTGTTGGGCCGAAGGTTTCCTGCACAGTGAACACACGTAAACTAGCCTCGGGGGTGTTTCCGAGGAAGGCCCCTCCGATGCTAAAGTCAGTACAATGTGTAAAAGGAAGACACTATGCAAGAGAGTTTGTAGCTTGAGGCTTTTGTGGAATATTCCTGAATGCAAGAATGAGCATATGAGTTGGAATAATCGGTGTATGAGATAATGCAAGTGATGATGTATGTGTTGTTATCAGATGTTGTTTCGCATCTTGTTGATCTCTCTCCCCTTGAATGTGTTAATATGAGGGCTTTTATACCTCATCATACTTGGAGAGGTTGGGCTTTAGCCCAATTGGCTTACTTTGTGGGCTGACTTTTGACTTTTGAGCAATTGGAGGGTTGAACCTTGACCTTGGGCTTTTAATTGGATCATTTAGTGCTCAGGCCCAATTTTGACTAAATTGGACCCAAACAACTTGCCCCCCAGACCCGATTCGGAAGAATGACGGGTCGGGTTTGATTTAACTCAGAAAAGGAGGGAAGTAAATGATTTAATTGATCCAAAAATTTGAATTTGAATTTAAACCGTAATTAATGAGATAACAACGGTTAATGATTTGCGGAAGTTGGACGGATAATGGGCGGTTTAGTCACAAGACATGTGTTTAATGGTTACTTAGTGGGTACTTAAGAGAAATTAAAGCAGACTCTTCGTATCCCGTACCTGGAGATATAAACAGAGGCGCGTCATTCTCCTCACTTATTCACCAACACAAACCCAGAATTCTTCGAGAGAGAATCCAAGAATCCGTATCAAAACTTCGCAAATTCCCCCGAGCATTGAGCTTAGAAACTGAGGCTTGCCACTACGAACTCGTAAATCGGCAACTTTCGCTTCAGATTAAGGTAAATTCCTTTGATTTCAGTTTATTTTTCTTCGAATTTGAACTCCTTCCCCTTTTCTTTCGACTTTTCTCTTCGAAATAGTCCATGGCAAGAGGAGTTAGAGGTAGAGCCCGTGCTCCAAGAAGAGCAAGGCCGATTCCCGATCCTAGGAATAGGATTGGGACCTGGAATGGTCGAAGGCCGGAGTCTGACCCTGCTGAAGGGATTAGGGCGACTCCCCTTTCCTCGGCTCCTCCTCAAAGAACGGATGAGCCGAGTGCTTCTGGACGGGACGATGAAATTCCCGCTGTCCTTTGGGATATCCTCCCTGGGTTTTCAGAGTGGGAGAATGCCGAAGTCGCTTCGGCCATGATAAAGAACCGCCCCTACTCATGGTGGGTAGAGAACGCCGATCAATATCGATTTGCTGAGCAAATTGAGTTGCACTACGGCATTTTTGAAGCTGATGGATATTGGTGCCGAATGCCCTCAGCATCCGATAGAATCCATCGTCCACCCCCGGGGTATGTGGGGGTGTACACGAGACAGCTTCAGTATGGGCTGAGGTTCCCTTTGGACGTTTTCGTCCGAGACTTGCTGATCCATTACAACATTTCCCTATGTCAGCTAACCCCCACCAGCATCCGAAGGGTGATGACATACTTATGGGTCTGCAAGTTCTTCAGATACGTGCCGAACCTGCACTGCTTCAGAAAGCTCCATCGGCTAGTGCCAAATATTCAGAGTGGGCACGGAAGCCATGGTTCTGGGTGGTATCGGATTGAGTCCCGGCCCCAATATTTGACCATGTGGCCAAATGACTCTTCAGACAAGGACTGGAGAGGTCAATGGATTTGGGTTAGGGCACCCATAGATCCGGGCCACCCTTGTGTCTTCAGCGCTCCCCGGTACTTAGCTGAGCCTGATCCCGAAATGGGAAGTCTAGGTCCCCCCGCAGATAACGGGGCGGATCCGAACCTGGATCAGCAACATATCTTCGGCAAGCTGCCGAACCCGGGGGGGAGTGGTCGAATGCAGCATATCCCGGAGACTTGGCTCCCCGATACGCATTACGTTTTCCAAGAGAATATGCTAGCAGCTGTTGGCCTCAGCCGAAAGTTTAAGGATGGTAAGCTTCTTCGGCTGGGGCCGAGGCTTTTAACTACCTCTTTTTCTTCTCTCGCTTTGCTTTTTTATGCTGTGCCAACATATCTGAGCTAAACTTTTTCCCTTTCCTTTTTTCAGAGCGGGACGAGACCAACGTTGGTATTAACTACGCTCGTCTTGGTGTTAACCGAGAGCGAGTTGTAACTGAACGGGCCCCGTCCATCACTGAGCCGAGGCATAGGGAAGTTCACCTGGACTCTTCCCACTTCCAAATTGAGGCTGTTGCTCTGTATCAGAGGCAGAAGCCTTGGTGGAAGAAGAGAGACCCTTGGTTTCAGCTGCTGAACGAAGAAGCTGAAGCTGCCCGCACAGCCGAAGAGGTTGCACGGGTACTTGAGGCTTGTGAAGGAGGAGAAGGGTCCTCCAGAGCTGCTGAAGCCGAAGCTGCAGCTAGAGCAGCTGAAGAAGACGAGGCTTTGCTGAAGACCTCGGTGAGCTTTCAGACAACTTTTTTCTTTTCTTCTTTTTTTTTTTTTTTTTTTTTTTTTTTTTTTACTCACTCTTCTTCCCCCCTGTCTGTTACAGTCTGAAGAGAGTAACAGACACAGAGAAGGCAAAGCTCCTGTTCGTCCCGAAGATCAAATACAAGAGTCTTCAGATTCAGATAT